TCTTGCGCGGTTTTGGTATTTACTTGAGGCAGGAACGCAGCATGTCGTATACGACTTACATGTCCAAAGCGACTGTGCAGTTTAGGCGTGCATGAGCCATGACAACAATTTGACTTTGTCCGTGCGTCTTTCGTTGTCTATCCTTCCTTTGGGCTCGAAGCGGTGTGCCGCTTCGCGGTGCCATCGTTCCGATCTGTTTTCTCAGGGCTGAGGGTTTCCTGAGATTCGGATCCCTGGAAAGTGGAGCTTCCCCTAGAACTGGGCATCAATCAGTTCAGCTTGGGCAACTTTGGTCATTTGCCCAGATGCATCTGATGGTTTTGCTGCACGTACTAGCCGGACCGCTGCGACGACTTTTTTTCGGCTGCTTTGGCTGCAGCGTGTTCCAGCATTTTGAAAAGCAATGGTGAGCAAAGGAAGCTTATGGAGCCACAGGTATCAGGATCAATGGAAAAACATCCAGTTGCTGCGGGCCCTCTTGAAGCGGATGCTTCAGCAAAATTTGAAGGACCTAAATCGGGCGTGTTGCAACACTTATTGAATCATTCCAACTCTGAGGACTAACCTTCTCAATGGTCGCTTGTTTCCCAAAACCGTTAACCTTTGTTTTAAAAACTTATGAGCTTCATCCACTTATTCCCAAAACTGTTGTGTTGCGCAACTTGTTGACTTTTGGCCAGCAGTCACGCCGGACGAGCCAATCCATGATCACGGTAGGCATGCCAGCAGTGAGATCTGCGAAAACAGAAATGCGCGCAGATGAGTCATGTCTAAGACCTGTCATTTTTATTGCGTAGGACTTTGTCGCAGAATAAGAAGCCCCTGCAAAACGGAGGGGTCTCCGTTGAATGCCCTTTGAACCAGACCCAACCAAGGAGACACCCATGGGTTGCATCGCCAGGTGCTACGCGTGTGGCCGGATGGACGGCTGGAAGAGCGGGAGGGCCTACCTGAGCAGGAGGCCAGGCATCGGGCAATTTCTAGCCTCAAGTTTGACGTGATGGCACCTTGAAGAACAAGAAATTTACCCAACTGCAATACAGGGTTCCAGGCTGAGTTCCAGGTTCCAGGTTCCAGGTTAGAACAACCTTTGAAGAACAAGCTACCCAATGGCAACATGATGGCACTTTAGTAAACATGAAATGAACCAGGTTTGCTACCCAGGATTCATATGCACCAAGGGGCTGGTGTTGGTAGATCATATGCACTTTAGTGAACCCAGGGTTGCTACCCAACAGCAGCACAGAGTTCCAGGGTAGGCGGTTCCCGGCTCCGAGCAGGGGCAAACTCTTTTTCTTTCGCCTGGCCTAAAAATAGAAGCCCCGGAGCTGATTGCTGTGAGAAACAACCAAAAAACAGCTTCGATCAAACAAACAAACTGATTTAAAGTAAGACTCGTTTCCCCTGTACTTGGACCTCCAGTGTCTTGTCATTTTTGCATTTGTTTTTGCGAAACATGTGCGTCTAGAATCGGGCAAAGTTGTGTTTCAACCAATCAGACCCTGGTTCCCTCTACAGGGAAACTGCACGCTTTGTTTGGCAATAACTGTTTTAACCAGCGAGGGGTTGGCCCAATCCTTTTGAAGGCCACTCATCTAACTTGCAACCACATATGAGGTTGTCTCAAAGCAAGAGTACCAAGCCAACATGGCAGCGGTTTCATGTTGGTTTCTAGGTCCCCCAGTAGTGCCATTGATCTTATCCTTTTTTGGTTGGGAGGGTTTTTCGTACTAAAATAGACAAAGCAGATAAAAGTCGGGTACCCTTATTCTATCCTCTCCACTGGAGGACCTAGCCCTTAACCCGAAAAGCCGCGAGACCTGATCGCCCAACTCTCCCGTCCAGAATTGGTGAGCGGTTTGACTTCCTCATCCCAAATAGGTTTGTGGCATGGAGCCTCAAACTTGGTGGTTCTATCCCTTTAAAGTTAGGAAACCACGAAAATGAGGGGGTATCCACACACACACACAAAAAAGAAAAAAGAAAAAGACGTGTACCTTCTTGTGCCACCTTGAGACAGCCCGGGTTGAAGGAAGGTGTTGGCTAATTGGACCCCGGGAGGTGCATCAACCTGGATTCAGGTACTGCGAGCCGTTCTTGTGGGGAAGGTTCAGGAAACCACCCAACACCCGCTTCGATTTGATTTTTTGAAGCCTCCAACTCCAAAACGGGGTCTCCAACAGATCGCTGACCTGCAAGTTTTGCCCTAGAAAGGGGGATCTTCAACCCACTGAGATCGTCCATGATCGTCAGGGGATTCTGATCATTTCTACAAGAAGCCATCTCACTCATCCGGCGAGTTTAATCGAGGTTTTATGCGGACTGCCCTCAGTTACCCCAGCAATTGCCATTGGAAGTCAATGGGTGTGTCGACAAATCTGGCTGGAACCGCATGGTGTCCCTTTGAGCTCAAGACAGACGAGAACCAGCATCAACATGCCGATTTGTGTGTTACATAGTCTTGAATATCTTGATTTCCCGGTGGAAATCAACACGCGAGGTTAGTGTCATGTTCCAGCTTAATTGCTTTAAACATCACCATTGAGTTTCTGTCCCGTGCCGTGATGGTTCAGGATACAGGAAATCTGCTTGGCATAATGAGTGTGTCTTCTTTTGATCTGATACTCTTGTTGCAGCTTTGCCAAGAAACAGGAAGGTTTCTGCTTGAAAGCAACCCTCATTGCCATATTGTCTTTACAGTTGCGCTTGTACGTGTTTCTGGCCGACCAATAGAGACCTCACATAAGTTGGTTTGTGCCATGGCGCATGATGAAGTGTGTTGTTTAAAAAAATAAAATATAAAATAAATGGAAAAAATGCGGGCTTCTCCATATGTGCGGATGGTGGAGCGTTGTACTTCAGCATCCGAACAAGCTCCACCATCCGAACAAATGGAGTGAATATGTTTTAGTCTTCCCTTACATTCAGATGGTGTGAATATGTTGTAGTCTTCCAAGCTTTGCCATTCGCTCCATTCGCTCCTCTCAGGAAGACAAGACCAAGTGGCTTGTACGAGTCCTTCGCAACCCTTTCCCATACCTACTAACTCCTCAGGACGGGCTCAGGGCAGGAGAGAACTCAGACACGAGGACTATTCGACATGCTTGGTATGTTCAGCCATTCCACTTCTCGCCTTGCCATGTTGGACTGGATTGAACCAAAACCAAGGCGTTTCAAAGTTCAAGTTGTTGAGCAGGGAGTCTGAAGAAGACCCTTGATTTTAAATTGTCAAATTGCGGTGGGTTTGTTTCGTTTACCATTAGGAGCGAACGAATGGTGTAATTGTAGGCTGTGTCGTCAATTCCCGGGGTTCTTCGACCCGCCTTTTCCCCAGTCTGTTCAATCACAGTTCCGTTCAAGCACCCGCCTTCCGTTTTGGTTTTCTGGAACGGATAAATGGAAAGAATATATGTTGTGACCACTAGAGCTTTGAGGGCCTGGGGAGAACACACGGAGCCACAAGCCTCGCGGCCAGCGGGCTTCAGTTTGCTTCCCCCCCCCAAATCTTCCGCGACTGTAGGGCCGTAGATGCGGTAAGTAACCAGTGGGTACACGATGATTGACTATCCTATGTCTTGGTTGTTTTTCCCCAACAGCTGAAAGCTTTGGGGTCTCACCCCAGATAGGCTCCGGGGTGGTCCGGGGCGGCCCTGAAGTAAGGTTCCACGAGGGTTCCACGATTCCGCGAGGTTCTGCGAGGGCTGCGGGGTGGTGCGAGCACTAAAAGAGCACCGCCTGAAGTTGGGGATATCACCTGAGCTTATTACAAAACTTGGTGCGTAGCGAAAGCCCTTTAAGATATGTACTGACTTGGAATCGAATCAGTCACCAAGGAGATTTGCATCGGCACGCAACGGAGATGCGTCAATGGTATGCTTCCCAAGCCAGTCTGCCTCATCACAAACAGGCGCAACCATAGGCACCAACTGCAACGTTGCCTACACAAGTAGTATGCACATAGGTGTCCTTTTTGGTTGGCTTGCTTTAACAAAAACGAAGGCCCATGGGAAAAGGAGAGTCCTTCGGGTCCCCTGTTTAAAGCAAGATTTCTGCGCGCACAGGCCCCTGTGCACCTCCATGATTGCACACATAGGGGCCATAGGGGGGAACCCTTGTGTTACTCTTTTTGGGTCCTTCAAACGTCACTTGTTGGTCCACTTTTAAACAAGTGAATTAATTATAGGGAACCCCGTCATCAAATCCAATACCATCGGTTCCTTCAATATGCTCATCAATGAGTCGTGCAATCATTGGTTTTAACCGTTTGGCCGTCAAGGGAGGGACAGATACTCACTTGCCCAAAACGAATCAACCTTTTGACTGACCGGGTGTCCCTGGTTTGGTCCAGATTTCCACATATTTTGTCTTCAGATGTCCAAAGGTTCACCTTGAGGTTTTCCCTTGTTACGCAATTGGGTTTTCCGTTTTCCCATGTTTCTCCATTTTGAGTCATGGCCGAACAAGGTGATCACCTTGGATTCCTGGGCCACCCCGTGGGTTCTGACGCCACTCGCTAGAGGAGCTCTATGAGAAGTCCTTCCCCGGAGACCGGAGCAAACATGCGGCGTGCTTCGGGGACCACGACAACCATGCGGCCAACCCGGACGCGGACCACCCCTTGTATAGGCTCAGCCATCGGAAGCGGGGGAGTTGGTTTCCCTGTGCCCCAAAAAAATGTGAACATCCCTGAAAAGGCGTCCTAAGGGTCCTTGCTCCGGCTTGCACCCCTTTTGAAAAGGTGGTCCAAAGAGTTGACACAAGGTAAAGCTCAGATATTGAGAGAGAGGGTAGGCCCGGCCCGTGAATGGAAGCTTCAGCTCGCTTTGGAGCTTTCGAGGGTCCCGCCAGGTCCATGAAAATCGGGGCAGTGGACCTTTGGGGTCCCTCTTTGCACTTCCCTGCGACCCTGAGTGGCTTGTTTGTGAGTACGGGGGATGAGAGGGCCGAACAGAACCCTTGTATTAGTTGTTTCCAGCGCAGGGAGGTGGCAGCTTGGAACGCTGGACACTGGATCTCTTGGCCATTGGGGCTGTCAAGGAGGAAACCAAAAAGCCAAAAAGGTCCACCCATTCTGGGCCGTTCTGTTGAAAAGAGCCCTTGTTGGCCCCAACAAAGAATCTCCTCAACACATTGGGCGGGGCATCACACGCCGCCGCCGCCGCCGAACAAATTTCGCGAGGATGGTGGATGGCTTTGGCGCCAGCGAGGTGGTGGTGGAGTCTCCGACCCACAACGCCCTCATCGGCATTGCGGAGGACAACCAGGTGGCCATGGGTCAAAATCCAAATCGTACCCCCAGTGAACATCAACCAATCCCCACTAAAATAGACTAAAATGGGTGGTGCACCTACCCCAAAATGGTACCATTGGTTTTGACCCACAGCCAGGTGAGCTGGCGACATGATGTCAATGTTCCCCCCCCCGCCCATTTTTAGAGGCGTCAAAGAAAACAGAAGGATGATATCAATGTTCCCCCCCCCCCGTTTTTTAGAGGTGTTGAAAAAAGAAGCAATGATATGATGATGTGGTTCAACCCACGTTTTGGAGGGTGTGAAAGAAATCAAAGGACACCAATCACGTTTCGTTGGGAATTGCCTACAGTAGAAACAACTTGCAATGTTTGTCTTCAACACGACACTATACCAATGTACCACATGCATCGGCAGCTCCCCCCCCCCCCCCCCGATGGGCATGGAAAGCAAGCCCCTCTTGTTCTGTGTATGCTGTGTATATGTTGGCGCCATTGGGGGTACACTACACCGGCACGCGACAACCGTCCTTGACATTTTTGAAGTCAGCCCTACAAATTCCTACAAAAAGACAACTTGTGTTTTACTAGGGAAACTCACACAATCTGGGTTGGTTGAAGCACCACCTCTACAAACAGTTTTCTAGCTTCTGCTAACTAGTGTGTTGAAACCTTTGTCATTCAACCTGTTGTTTCAGTCGTACCGCAAAGCAGCAAACCGGGATGGGATTTGCAGGAGGAAGATGCCAGTTTTTGGCTTCCCGCGCAATTACTTTATCTCCGGGTTGTGCTAAGAGGACATCAACCACTTCTGGTTTCCAGTCTGCGGGCAGGGAAGTGAGAGCCCGAGAAATGCCATTGCAACGTTTACCGGGTGCCAGATGCCCCGGCCAATCACTATGTTTTGTTTAAAGAGCATGGATAATTAGGCATCGCACAGTGAGACAGATTGCGGTCAGTGGTGCTTCCTCCATCTGACGGCTTGTCAATCATCCATGGGTTACCCCAAGATGGCACCTTGGTATATCAAAGACCAAAACCTGCGTACCCCCAGCTGTTCCATTTAGCGTCAGCCGCTACTCAGTTGTTCAGCGGCACCAATTATTTTTCCCTTTTTTTGTGGTGGCTGCCCCGCTAAAAATGGCTTCCCCAAGCCCCAAGAAGGGTTCCCTTTCTTTTCCAGGGTCACTGAACTGAGGATAAGCTCGGCTCAGGTGATCAATACTCTGCGGGCCATGGCAGCGAGAGGCGCACCGATCGGGTGCAAATCAGTTGGACCCCCTTCAGGTTGGTTTGTTGTTTGTTTGTTGTTTTTTAGAACCCGCAAAAATGCCGGGATCCCGATAGGGCACATGGTTGGAATATTTTGCCTGTGGCTAAAGCGAAGCAAGAGTCCTGTAGCAATCATGACTGAGAAGAGGGCATATCTCCGATCATAGAAGCGGTTATTGCAGGCCTTTCATGCTGTCAACTACGTTGGATTGAGCTGAAGCGCGGCAGCCGGTGCGTTCAGGTCGGGTTCCCTTATTCCAGGTGTGAGAAAGACTGTAGCTCAAAGGAGCTAATCTAGGTCTCCCAGTAGTGCCCTTTTACACTTTTTGGGGGAGGGTTCCCCCACTAACATAGACGACAGAAGAAAGGGTATCCTGATTCTAACCTCCCTACGGGAGGACCTAGTAGTCTTACAGCAGAAGACTGAGAAGCTCTTCCTTACCCGCGGGTCCTTGGGGTCCACTAGCCACTGTTTGTGTAGACTCTAGAACTTGCAATCCAATGGGAGAGACTCAACCCAATGCAGATGGCTCCGGTTTTCGACTTCCTTTCTGCGTCCACAGAAGGTGTTGCGGTTTTTTGCCCTTCGCAGCGACAGGCTTGGCTCTTGGCTCGCAGAGATTCTGACCTCACTTCTGTGGGGATGCCTGTTTCAGTGGCGGGCTCCCAGTCAAGCAACCTTTTGGGGCAGTACGCAATTATGTGTGAAAGACTCTAGCCAACATTAAGTCCACAGATTGCGGTAAGTGCCGACAAACACATGCACATGTTGGGACTGGCCCAGTCATAACAGTTGGGAGCACATGCATCATTTAAGTGCTAGGTTTCAAGTACCTTGACAACCCCTTGAAACAAAGCAGAAATGATGAGCCCAATGGTTGTACAACTGCAAAGACGTTTCGCCTCGGCCGGTGGGTTGGGTTGTTCTAGCGCCATTCTGTGCCGTGGCAAGCTACCCAAAGTTGCGTCGACCCAAGCTACAGGTGCCCAAGGTCCACGGGGAGAGTGGATTAGGGTTCCCTTTGTTCCTCCCCCTCTGGTGTTAACATCACTTTTGGAACCAATCTTAAAGGAGTGGCCTTTCGGTGAGGGGACGTTGGCAATATTTGGCAAGGAAACCTGTGTAAAAGCGGTGCAGCCGTCTAAAGGCGATTTTCTGGTTTCGATCCTGGGGACCAGTATGTGGAATCAGAGAGAAACTCGAACAAAACCCGGGCAGATTCAGGCTAGTAAGGGTGCGGCCGCCTTTCAACTTCCTTACATGGATTTGGGTAGCCCGTTGTAGTATCAGGTTTTGATTGGGACTCACTTGTTGTTTGGAGGGGGTTCTTTTTAACAAACCCAAAACAAAGCAAGCCTTGTTTGTCCATGGATTACGCTGGAGAACTCAACAAAGGGGCCAGCAACGTGGCCTCGTTCAGAGTTGCGATTTTCAGTTTTGGCTTAGTGCTACGTCTACTTTCATGTCTTCTGAAGATATAGTTGTAAAGAGGGCAATAACCCTGACATATATCATGCGCGCAAGTGCTGGTTCAGCCAACAGGACAATGGAGATGTAACCAACATAAATGCGACAGTGACTATGCCTGACAGATCCAACTCCCCCCCCCCCCGCTTCCCCTGGTTACCCCATGTGAGATCCCAAGGCCGACCTACAGCAAAAGTAGACGGCCCCGCAATACCCGATTAATTGGGGAATTAAGAAACGACTGCCTCCCATCCACAAACTCCTGGAAGACAATTTTCCCCTCAAAAGCAACCCCCGGGTGGGTTGCACGGCAACGTGAACCGGAGGGTAAACCAAAATGAGATCGTGTGCCATCCACTTTCTCACAGACCGTGGACATACGACCTCCCAACACGAAAACCGAGCCGATGCGATGAGCCAATCAGCCGATTCGCTCCAGGCCGGTCATTGCGGAAGTGCCAGCGCGTCCTCCAGCTGATGCATCTTGACCAGGGCTCCCGTTGCCGGTGCGCTTAAACCCACCCAGTGTCCTTTGAGATCTACCAACCAAACGTGCCCCTTTTTCCTCCTGCCTAAGAGCTAGACTGTTGCAGCATTCAAAGGAAAACTTGCCTAGAAGGTTGCTGAACCACATCCACGCATTGCCAGACCCCACTTATTTGTGCAACTGTTTGCCTTTTCGGTGTTCAATGATGTTTGTTGCCCAGACAACAAAGGTCAGCTGTTTGTACAGGTCAAAGTTTGGCCCAGCATGATGCTTCCAGCGTGTGTATTTAAACCTGGGCTCTTCCCCCCAAACCAGCTGAATCCTACTCCCAAAAGGTCCTGCCATTGAGCAGATGCACTGAACATCAATCTCTACTTGCCATGAAGTAACAATGATATAGCCGTGCTGTTAGAACCAGACCGTCAGCCGGTTGCCATACCGCGCTGAGCACGGGCCTTTCAACCGGTGCTTAAGTCCCCAGGGAGTAGAGAGAAAGCCTTAAGGGATGCCACGCTCGCTTTCCCTCGGGACACCCTAGAGAGGGGGACCCAAAATGAGCCACAATCAAAACCCGGGGATTGATGAAGGTTAAGGGGCAGTCCCAACCAGAAATATTTGCGGATATCCGCCTTCTTAATTCTTGAAGCATGGTTCTGGGCTTGGACCATTTTACTACCGGGTGTTGATCATGACTCAAAGGATGTGGACTCTGAAATGGTTGGTGCCCTGTCGGTGTTGTTGTAAAATACACTCATTCCCCAACCGGCTCCTTTCACCGGTATCCCTTAGGTACTTCAAGCAGTACGGCATGGAAGCCAGCGGCTCGTTGATCCATCCGCACATGCAGCGACTTGGCGAATGAAAAATCCCGCGAGGGGTGAGGAAGCTGGCTCCGGAGATGTTCTACCGGAGATGAGAAGCCCGCCGAAAGTCATTGCTACGATTCTGGGCCACGGGGAGCCAGTGATTTCGGCGACACTCCCTCAGACTGACATGGAAGCTCCCAGAAGGCCTCTGTCGATTGAACCAAGTCTTACAAAACGTCCTGGGAGCTTCTATGTTAGTCTGGGGGAGGGAACTTCAGTGGCGCCTTCTTCAAAACTATAAATTTGGTCGTTTTTAAGTGGACTGAAACGAAATCAGAACATATCATTGTTCCGTGCATACCCATATGAGGGCCAAGTTTGGTGATCTTCTATCAGGATACAACTTGGCCTTCGTTAATACTGTTTCGCCTTTGCAAGGTTACTGTGTTTGCTTCATATCTTACCCAGAGGAGGGAGTATATTTTCTTTGGCGCCTTTTGCTTGGATGTTAGGACTTTAACTTTTTTGCCAACTAATTAATGGGTTTCCATTAAACCACGATAACTTAAACTTTTAGCAGGGGAGCAGAAAGCAACCGAGCTTTGAAGTCATGTCTACACTTCAAGCGTCACTAAATACGGACCAGAAACTGAATTACATGGTTTTGCCGGGAGGTTGAGTTATACTGGGGTGTCCAATTTTGGAGAGTCCTTCATTTTGGTGAGAACACTTCCCCAAGTCCATCTAAAAGGTGTATTAATGGGGATCGACATTAAGGGTCTTATTTGAAGGAACTTTCACAATTGTGTATAAAGCCATGCGTATATCAGCAACGAACAGGATCCCAAGCCCTTCGCTAACCCCGGCGTTTCCGCCAGTTTTGCCCTTCGTCTGATTTAGGGAAAGCAAAACACGGTGCATGGCCACACGGGCTTGCAACCCATCAAGGCCCATGCAAAAACCGCATCTCTGCTTGCGGAGGTAGAACCCTAATCTTGGGATTGAAGCCCTGTGGCTCCGAGTTGCCCTGGGTTTAGTGTTTTGAATTCTCCATTTTGGAGGGGGACACAATATGGGGTGAACATTCTCTGGTTTACCGGGGCCCCGCTTTTTGGGCTAAGTCCGAGGTTGGGTCTTCAAGCCTCGAAATGAGTCGGCCCATACTCGTAGCTGATTGGCCGTTGGGGACGTTGGTTCGACTCCGCCTTTTTACATTGATGGAGCATGACAAGCAAACCTTGCTGGCGAGCAATACGGCTTGGCAGGGAATCCCAGAGACCGGCTAGTTGTGAGAGTGTCACTTTGGTTTCTTGTTGGGGGGGAGCGGATTCCGTCAGCGGTTCATCAGCCAGTAAACGGTAACTTGGAGTGCGCCACTCTGCACCAATCAGCCAACAACAACCAAGACCAACACCAACCAGCCGCAACCAATGCGAACCAACTCTAACCAACACCAATAAACATGAACTCACTCCAGTCACACAACCTGTACAAGTGTTTTGTCTTGTTTCTGTTTCTTGTTTCTTGGTGCTTCCCAGCCATCCCGTTAGGCTTTTGGTTAGGATGTTGCGTGGATTTAGTGGGGGGGGGGTCGGAATTTAACCCACAAGTTAGGCTTGCAGGGGATCAGAAAACGGACCGCCACCCAGATTTCTTTTGCCGTTCAGTGTTCGCCTTGCGAAACGTTAGGATCTGCTCCTTGCCCATTGTGAGCCGCAGCTTGGAGCAGCGATTGAAGGAGCCATCCGTTAGTTTCCGGACATCGAAGAGACGGGTCTGCTTTTTTTGGTTTTGCATGTCAAAAGCTGCCCCTCCAAATGGGATGTCCGTACTCGGTTAAATGGGTCCCTGGTGTCATGGTTCCAACACATCCCTTGCAAATTCGGGGGCGTATGGGGGGTGTTCCTGCGATCAAGAGAGATACTGGGAACTTGTCTCCCTTCCCCCCAATAAGTTCTCAGAGCCCTTCGCTCAGAATCCCTTCGATCGGAATGCCCCTTCAGAACCCTTCCTGAGTTCAGGGACCTGAGTGTTTTTTTTGTTTTTAGTGAACATGGCCTTCCAAGAGAGGACTAGTTGACCTGGGCAAAGCCATGCTTGGGAGATGACAGTTGCTTCGCAGAGTTTTCCTAAGCTTTGTGGAACCTTGTTCGTTGAGGGAAAGGCTACCTTTTTCTGGTGCTAGCTTTTGCTCTCCTGCAAATTCGCATGGAGACCCGAATGGAGCGGTCCCCCAAAAGGAGGTTCCTCTACAAATGAGGCTGTGTTGGGTTCCATGGTAATCGGCAGCTCAGAAACTGTGTTTGCAAAATATTTCATCATTTTGCAGGGAAAGCAAAACTCCATGCGGCCCGTCCAAACACAATATGGGCTCCGTCTGAAGGTGCCCTGAAAATTGATGTGTTCATTGAAGAAGTCATTTCTTGGGCACCCAAACTATTCCTGGGTTAACGTTTGCTCACACATTTACGTACGTTAAAATAATATGTTTGTTGGGCCCCCAGGGATTCCTGGGTCAACGTTTGCTCACACATTGCCCACGGAAATGATGTTAGACATGGTTAGATCGCCTGTTTGGCGTCCATTGACCAACGAACCCCCTCGAGCGAGCCATTCGCAGGACCACAAGGACTTCTTCGACGTCCACGGCTGTACTGGTGTGCACAGGCCGTCCGACTCGTGGCATCCGGCTTATGGCAGGTTGGTACGGCGTGCACACTCAAGGGCTTGATTCCCAAAGTGTCTTTCAACCAGCGTTCTTGAGTCAAAAGCGGCATCGCCCTTTTTGCCGAGTCTTGTCGGTTTACTGGAGCGGAATCTTGGGCTGGGTTCAGAACTCTGAAAGTCGGCCATGGTTGACATGAGCCATGCCCAGACTGACAAGGTCACCCGAAAAGTGACGATCAAGTCCAAAAACCCAGGAAATAAGGTACATTGGACCATCGGTTTTTCGTTGTTCCCTTGCAAAATGGTCGGAATGACCCTGGTTCAGGGGGTCCAAGCAGAGTGGGTTAAAACCTAAGCTGGCTGCTGCGAATAAACACGAGCCATGCTCAAATCAAATCTCCTTTCGTGGTTCCATGGTCTCAGCGTTCTTACTAGAAACCTTTGCATTTCTTATGCTGGTTGTCTACTGCGCACTCAATTGCCTGACTCGGACAGATCACAACCCAAACAGCCGGTTTTTGGTTGATTTGTGTAATTGTTCTTGGGGAAGTGCACGCCCATACAACCGTTATACTACGTACCAAAAGTGAGCTCGGGTTTCAATTCCCACCTGCTCAAGTACCTTTGCTTCAGCCAAGGCCCAAACACCCGGCACTCAAGCCGCGAGGGGGGAGTCAAACACCAGAAACCTGCTCTGCTGCCCCCTCTGCCTGGTCACGATGCAAGGACGCGTGTGGGCTCCGGGTTCGATGCCTCGAACCCTCTGGCGCGTTTCGCGTTTCGCAGGCTCTACGTGGAGGACGTGATTGGGGGCCACGCTGTTAGCGTGGCGCGCCTGGTGCACCAGCCACTTGGCTCGACGAGGCCTAGAGTGCGCGGCTTCCCTGGGAGAGGTCCCGTGAAAGGTGTCCCTAGGAGAAATCTGAGGACTCGTTATTTATTTGGGGGGGTTCTCTTTACAGTAAAGAGAACCCAGCCACAAAGAGGATGCCCTCTTTTTCTTTCTGAGTCCATGCGCTGGGCGAGCAAGCTGTGGGAGACTCAAGTCATACAAAATTGGCTCGCTGCGTTTGGGCGGTGAATGATCCCAATTGATCCAGGAACACTTCCACAGCCCTGCGAAATGCCTCCTTCCCCACCTTTCGCTGGCCAGGATCAGGTGCTGTGTTCTTCCCTCTTTTTTTTCCGGTGACTCACCCCAAGGACCCGTGCGAAAGATGTAAGAGCCGTCTTATCCCTGCCTGCCCCTTTTGGCTTCTCAGGTTCGGTGTCCCTGAAGGCAAGGCAAGATTTCTCAAACGTTCAGCCCTCCAAGCTTTAGACCTTTTGCGAAAACCATCATAGAGGCAAAAAGCAAGCCAATAAGGAAGTGAGACCATGAGGAATTGTGTTTTTGTTGGATTCTTCAATTAATACAAATGCAAGTGGACCTATCGGTTTGTCTCAAAGTAGGTGTCGTTTTGGAGGGTACCCATCTTGTGCTTATTGTTTCTGGAAAGCCAAATGGAAAAAACGCATGTTTGGGGGGTCTATCTGAAGACACACCCCATGTTCAGTGGCTTCCTCTCGCAAAGGGGCAACTAGTTCAGAAGGTCTGAAGTCGACCTGTCAACCCTTTGGCTTTCCAGCGTTGGCTTGTATTTAGTCAGGGCTTCAAAACGTTGTTTCCTTCCCGGGCGATCTGTCGATACTTTATATGTCCAGGTTCACCAAACATGAAGAATCTAGACATCTACTTAGGCGGAAGATACTGGGAGCAAACGCAGTATCTGAGTATATTGATAAATTGGCTGAACTTTGTCATTGTGGGTTTGTCTTAACATATGTGGGAATCGCAGAAGTTTGTATTCCTTTCAGAAGAGAACACCCGACAGATTATCAGCACCGCAGCAGTGAACCCCACGAGCAAATTTAGCGCATCCCACTTGCAAGATTTCCCCTTGGTTTTCCACAAAAAAGCTGAACAAGCCCAAAAAGGGCACACATGCTACCCTTGGTTTTGCCCTTGGTTTGTAGGGAAAATCCAAAAAAAAACATTTCAAGAACCCCACCCCCCCCCCCCCCCCCCCGCATGTCTCCCCCACCGCGAGGACGGAGCACTTTGTGGCATCCGTGCCCTTCGCCCAGGTCCCACGGGGGTGTCTCGGACCCCAGGTCCGCCGTTTTGGAGAAATGGACATCGCCTACCCTCTTTCATACATATATACATGTAATATATACATGTTCGTAATATGTATACATACATATATATATATAGTGCACGCATGTTTCGAATTGCACATGATTGTGTGTCTTCTCTCTCCCTCTCTCTCTGTTCTTTCTCTTTATCCTTTTTTGTGTTTATCTATGTCTGATATCTCGCTCTCTCTCTCTCTCTCTCTATGCGTGTGTTCTCTATGTAAGTATTGTTCTCGATCTAGGTTTATGTTTGTGTGTCTTTGTATATATCCAGTGTTTCTCTTTAGTTCATACATGTCTTTGTATGCAAAAGTTTGATACATATATGTTTGTATTAAACGTGAATCTATGTACATTTGCATCACGAGCTCGTTTTATACGCTTATAGAAATTATTCATGCATGTGTGGCCTTTTTATGTGCATGTGCTCGCGACTTTTCGCAGAATCCCCCGCTTTGCCTGTTTCCAGATGGTTCCGACACGGTATTTATCCCTATGTCAGTTCTGACGCAGGGGACCTCTAAACATGCTTGGTTTCCTTCCAATGCGTGTGTGTGTCGCCAAGCTGGAATATGGAATCACGAACACATGGTGGCTATTTCTCTTCAAAGCAACCCCGAAGAGGGCAACCCCAGATTGATTTTACATCCCCCATTGCAGAAAAATGCATAGAGGGGGGGACGTAGGTACCCCGTGCTAGTCTGATCAGCCCACTATGGGTCTGATTCGGGAGCCCGGAAGGCACAAAGAGGAACTGCTGGAGGAAACCCTCTAAAACTATTTGGTCTATTTATTGAGATACCAAGACATTACGCTTGGTGTTCATACAGTTGCATGCATGCATACATGCGTACATGTGTATATATATATATATACTGTATACATATATACATATATATATACATACATATATATATGTATATTACTATTTGTGTATACATTATATATATATATACATATTATGCATTGCATGGGTTTCTGTGGCCACATAAGAATAATACGCATAGTCACAACCAACAATACATAGTAAATATCAACTATTGTCAAACCAGAATAATAGAACCGTCACAATGATAGTACAAATAGCAATGAATATACACATCAGTGTACCTGTACACATTTATATATGTATATGCATATATGCACATGCGCGTGCCACTGTTGATTCCGGCGGTTTTGTATTATTTTCCAACATCCATTCTCTGTTTGGCTGCCGAATGGGTTTGTCTCGAAGCCAGATTTGGAAGCTTTGGGTGGTCCTTTGGGCGTCCTTTGAGCCTGTAAGTCAACCCAAATAAGGGTTTCCTAAATCTGGGGGCCCTTTTGTTTACCATGTCAGGTCTTCCAGCACCCTTTCCGGGTCCTCCCAGTCCTTTCGGGCCGGGTGAACACGCGCTTCCTGACATGGTTGTTGTTGGGAAACATTTTATATTTTGCTTATTGTGGTTTAGTGGGACATCCCCACTGAATGTTAAATCTCCTTTATTAATAGTACCCTCTATTGTACAAACGTTTCTTCCAATGCAGGATCGTTTGACTGCTCTAGGGGTCCTCTGTTATGGAAGTTGTTTTTGCCGGAAACAACGCTGAAAAATATGGGCAAAACAATGGCAAACAAGTTGGGCAAAAAAAACGGGCAAACAAATCCTGGCAAACATTGGGAAATCCTTTTCTTGAAGTGGTCACACACAGCGGGTGCCCACAAGAGGCCCAGATCCTCTTTAACGCGACTGTTTTGGGGTCCTCTCTAGTGTCCAACTGGTTCTGGGGGTTGCTGAAAAAACGGTCTTTGGCAATACTAAAGTAGAATTGGCAATACTAAAGTGAGTACTGTCCCTCCCAGACCCCCAGGATTCCATTAAAGAGAGTCTTACGGGTTGCATTAAAGAGAGTCCAACATTAACTGCTAACAATTAAACTTTTGCTCCCCTTCCAACCTCAACCAAGCTGAGCCGGACGACTCCGCTTTCTGCTCCATGCCTTCAATGTATCCCCGAGGCGAATGATCATAGCGCCGAAGCGACACAGCCCACGCTTCGAGGAGGGTTCGAACATTGCGTTGGGGGGTTCCTGTCGTAGGCTTAAACCCTTTCACAAATTCCCATCACCTGTTGTCCTCCGCAGATCTTCCGTTTTGCCGAAACAGAAGGGATCTGGATCCTATGAATTGCGGGAGAGATCTTGTTCGAGCCCCGGGCTGGGGGCAAATCAGATTCCTCTCCCTTGAGATAGATTGCCTAGGACCTGCAGTCAGGTTCCATGGCAACAGGGAAGGGAGCATATCTTTGCTTGTCATGTTTGATCAATGGCAGACATGGTTGGTGGCGCATTTCGGGCAACACGTCCAAAAAAGGCACCTGTTGTGGGTTCCCCATTCAGACCAACCCATGTTGTCCACTTCCAAAACAGCCCACGCAAAAGGAAGCTCAATGACACTTGTGTCAACCCACACGAGAACAAAACCCTGTCGAAGACATTTTACGTGCCGTGTTCGGCCTGGCCGGAACTTTTGAAGAAGTCCCGAACTCGAATCCTACAAGTTTAACTTACTCCCTGAGTTCATGGACTTCAGTATTTTTGTCAAGTCCATGTTAGTGGCAAACAAAGGTTTGGACTTTGGCCAGCTCCACTTGATCGCGAATGAGCTTATGTCCAGCTTCCAGATCCCATTCCTCTCAGGATTGTCCCATTACACCTCTGGGCTTCCACCCTAGCGAAAATACCCAACATAGTCTCAAATGTACCAACACAACCCGGATTTTCTTGGAAATCGGCTGGAAAAGGGGTGCTTCTTCGGGCGGTTTTCCGTTGGTCACAAACTTCTGGGCCTCCACCCAGGCTCCTTGGAACCAATTCCCACGCGCCGGGCGCGTGACGCGTCAAAAATCCGCGCGACCCGAAGGACTCCACGGAGGAGGAGCTGAAAGACCTGGGCCGGCTGCTGCGGCTGCTGCTGGCCGGGCTCTACCGCTTCAAGGCAGGTTGGTAAAACTTGTGCCCGGGCTGGGTTAGGACCGGACCAAAGGGCTGGGCCAGGCGGGGCGCGGGTCTGAGAGAAGTTCGGCGCCTCAGAAAGAGGGGTGGCTCAAAGGACGGCGAAGGGAAGCCAAAAAGCTAAGCCGAACTCCTGGGTTAGGTTTTTGAGACCAGGTTGGTTGCCTCAAAAAAGGGGTTGGCTCAAAGGACCTTCAACGGGAAGCCAAAAGGCGGGGCGGCGGTTCTGAGAGGTTCAACCTTGAAAAGGCTGGGGTGTTTCTCGACTTGGTCGAAAGGGTGGGGGCACCTGTTTGGACCTTTGACTTGCAAGGGAAGGCCAGAAGGAACCTTGTTTGCAGGTCGATTCAGGGAAACTTTGGAGATTTTTGTTGATCTTCATGACTTTGTTTTATTGCACAAGTTAAAGCTTTCCAAAGGATCGACTGAGAAAAATCCCAGATTGATAAATGTAGGGGTGCCAATACCAAAATGGCCAACCTTCCTTAGAGTTTCCCTTGAAAACAACCCTCTAAAAACACAAACCCAGATCTTCAATGGTCTTGGTATCAGCTGCTTGTTTTGGGTTCTGTGCACTTTGTTGGCGTGGCCTTGTTTGCTGACTTAGGGGTTCCAGCATTACGTCCTTCCATCAAGTTCCATTTTGTAAAAAGTTCAGGAGTTGACTTGAACACAGCGAAAGGACCGGAATAGACTCCGTGGACGTAAAAGGAGCCAAGCTACATGCAAATTCACCCTTTTTGTTTGCACGTGCCGCTTTGAGTCGGCACGCCAACGCCGGCTCGTACTGTTGTCACTTGCTTGTGTTTGGCGCGCTCTAGGTTTCTGTTTCCTGTTGCACCTGAGGTCGCCTGAGATGAAGACTAGTGCCCCCTTGCCACAAACAGCTACAGCAAATAGTTGCGCATTTGATTTAATATACCGTGGGGTGTGGGTGGACTTCATGAATTCCGAGCTTTGATTTGTTTCTTTAAATGGAAGGAACCCTGGTGGGTGTGCAAAGGGAAGCAGCAGGAGAAAGTCCCCCCAATATTCACTCCCTGAGTTCATGGACTTTAAACACCTGTTGGGGAGATAGTTTTAGCGGCAAGCAAGTTCGGACTTGTTTTGGCCAGTCCACTCAGGAGGTGAGAATATCAAGGGTTGTTTTGGCCAGTCCACTCAGGAGGTGAGAATAGGGATGCATTACTCGGAAGTACTTAACTTTGATGTTGATTGTTTTCAGACTAGTGACTAAACGCCAAAAAGGAAGCTCGAATGACTCGTTTGAGGACGACCCCTCGTACAACCTCTTCTGGGAGAGCGCGCCAACTGAGCATGCCTTTGCCAACCGCGAGGCCAGCAACTTAGCGGACCTTCGGGAAATCCTCCAAAACTCATGGGGCCGGGGGGAAGGGGTGGGAGGGAACCCAAAGAAGGCCTTGAGGCCTGAATAACGCTTCAATCCCTCCCCCCCAGGCCCCATGATCATGAACTACTTCAGGGTGGATCATGTGGAGTCCTCCAAACTAGAATTCAGATTCTGGCGACTCCTTTGTTGTATACTTTAGGGCGGATGGTTTTGTCCTTTATGCTCATTTCTCCTGGAAACTGCAAACAGCCAATGTTGTGTGGGAAAACGGGGCTGACTGGTGAACGAAATGTTCATGTTCGGGGCTACCGTGTGGGAAGAACATGTACCAAGTTAGAAATTCAACACTTGTCCCCAATTGGTTGCCAACTACTCCGCTGCAAGCATTCAGAAACACCGTGGCTTCCGGTCTCAGTCCACAACCCACCTGGCTTGATTGTTTCGCACTTCACCGGGTCACGGGTAGTTCTTGCCAGCCCTCCACAAGGGTTTTCGGGCCACTTGCCAAGGGCATTTTCTTGTGATAAGATTGTCATATCCACTTTGATTACCCGCCTTGGTATCTCATATGGTCCTCCTTAAATTGACCTGTTAGGCGCATTTAGGCGCTTTGGTATCACATATGTTTCTCCTCAAATTCACTAAGACCTGTTAGGCGCTTTGGTATCACATATGTTTCTCCTCAAATTCACTAAGACCTGTTAGGCGCTTTGGTATCACATATGTTCCTCCTTAAATTGACCTGTTAGGCGCATTTAGGCGCTTTGGTATCACATATGTTTCTCCTCAAATTCACTAAGACCTGTTAGGCGCTTTGGTATCACATATGTTCCTCCTTAAATTGACCTGTTAGGCGCATTTAGGCGCTTTGGTATCACATATGTTTGTCCTCAAATTCACTAAGACCTGTTAGGCGCTTTGGTATCACATATGTTTCTCCTCAAATTCACCAAGGCATGTTAGGCGCTTTGGTATCACATATGTGTCTTCTCAAATTCACTAAGACCTTTTGGCGCTTTGGTATCACATATGTGTCTTCTCAAATTCACTAAGACCTGTTGGGCGCTTTGGTATCGCATATGGTTCTCCTCAAATTCGCTAAGACCTTTTGGCGCTTTGGTATCGCATATGTTTCTCCTCAAATTCACTAAGACCTGTTTGGCGCTTTGGTATCGCATATGTTTCTCCTCAAATTCACTAAGACCTGTTGGGCGCTTTGGTATCGCATATGGTTCTCCTCAAATTCGCTAAGACCTTTTGGCGCTTTGGTATCACATATGTTTCTCCTCAAACTCACTAAGACCTGTTGGGCGCTTTGGTATTGCATATGGTTCTCCTCAAATTCGCTAAGACCTTTTGGCGCTTTGGTATCACATATGGTTCTCCTCAAATTCACTAAGACCTGTTAGGCGCTTTGGTATCACATATGTTTCTTCTCAAATTCACCAAGGCATGTTAGGCGCTTTGGTATCACATATGGTTCTTCTCAAATTCACTAAGACCTGTTAGGCGCTTTGGTATCACATATGTTTCTTCTCAAATTCACTAAGACCCGTTAGGCGCTTTGGTATCGCATATGGTTCTCCTCAAATTCACTAAGACCTGTTGGGCGCTTTGGTATTGCATATGGTTCTCCTCAAATTCGCTAAGACCTTTTGGCGCTTTGGTATCACATATGGTTCTCCTCAAATTCACTAAGACCTGTTAGGCGCTTTGGTATCACATATGTTTCTTCTCAAATTCACCAAGGCATGTTAGGCGCTTTGGTATCACATATGGTTCTTCTCAAATTCACTAAGACCTGTTAGGCGGTTTGGTATCACATATGTTTGTCCTCAAATTCACTAAGACCTGTTAGGCGCTTTGGTATCACATATGTTTCTCCTCAAATTCACCAAGGCATGTTAGGCGCTTTGGTATCACATATGTGTCTTCTCAAATTCACTAAGACCTTTTGGCGCTTTGGTATCACATATGTTTCTCCTCAAATTCACTAAGACCTGTTGGGCGCTTTGGTATCGCATATGGTTCTCCTCAAATTCGCTAAGACCTTTTGGCGCTTTGGTATCGCATATGTTTCTCCTCAAATTCACTAAGACCTGTTTGGCGCTTTGGTATCGCATATGTTTCTCCTCAAATTCACTAAGACCTGTTGGGCGCTTTGGTATCGCATATGGTTCTCCTCAAATTCGCTAAGACCTTTTGGCGCTTTGGTATCACATATGTTTCTCCTCAAATTCACTATGGGCGCTTTGGTATTGCATATGTTTCTCCTCAAATTCACTAAGACCTGTTGGGCGCTTTGGTATCGCATATGGTTCTCCTCAAATTCGCTAAGACCTTTTGGCGCTTTGGTATCACATATGTTTCTCCTCAAATTCACTAAGACCTGTTGGGCGCTTTGGTATCGCATATGGTTCTCCTCAAATTCGCTAAGACCTTTTGGCGCTTTGGTATCACATATGTTTCTCCTCAAATTCGCTAAGACCTTTTGGCGCTTTGGTATCACATATGTTTCTCCTCAAATTCACTAAGACCTGTTTGGCGCTTTGGTATCACATATGTTTCTCCTCAAATTCACTAAGACCTGTTAGGCGTTTTGGTATCACATATGTTTCTCCTCAAATTCACCAAGGCATGTTAGGCGCTTTGGTATCACATATGTTTCTTCTCAAATTCACCAAGGCCTTATGTTTCTCAAATTTACCAAGACGCCTGAATGGAACTTGCAGGAAACCCAAGGGGTGCACCCATCATTCAGGAGGAGAGGTTGACGGTGGAGAAGTCCTTCTGCTGGACGCTGCACATCCGCTGCGCGGCGAAGAGATCGATCTCTTGACCCGGTGGTTGGCAAGGGCGGAGGTGGTTCTCAAGGGGTCCCTATATGTGTGTGTATATATATATATACAGGGCTCCTTAAAAGATGCATTTTGCCAATTTGAAACATGTTTTTCCCCACCAAAATAAAGGGAAACCACCATTTACAAGGCAATGCCTTGGAAATCAGTTTCAGACGCATGGAGTCTCATTGCAGTGCATCAAAGCAGAGACTTGAAAGTATACGAATTGACAAATCCGCTGACACTTGCTGACTTGTTCTTTTTGCTTAACACTGTTCCGCTCCCTGTGGTTTCGTCCCAAAGTTTGATTTATCCTCGGGTAGACTATTTCTTGTTGCCAGAATCTAAAAGTCTGATTTTTGGACTCTGGGCACTGGGCACAAAAAAAGTTCCCCCCCACTGGTGGAGACTTAGGTTGCTTATTTAGCCACCTACTCCTTTTGGGCTTCTTTTCTTTTTTGGGGCCTGAGGGCGGATTTTGCCACCTATTCCTTTTTTGGGTTTCTCTTTTTTTAAGGGTCTGAGTCTCGTGTCACGGGTCCCCGCCCCACAAAATCACTGAGGCGTTCCCCACAAGGCCAGTGGCTTCGGACTCGCCTCCGGGGTAGACGTCACGAGGCGCGAAGAAAAAAAAACACATTCGGTTGGAGGCGGAGTGTTCGGGAGACTTCGGAGATCGCGTCCAAAAGCTCGGGTCAACACGCCAGCAGTTGGGATTGGTGGTTGGTCCACCTGGAAATCATAGCGATTCATCCATTTTGGTGCAAGATTTGTTTCCATCCACTGACCGGATGTTTGGTTTGAGTATGAAAAAGTGACCACATATATGACCACTTCCAAGAGGCAACAGTTCCATGTCGCTTCCATCTTTTCCCATGGTTGCCATCTTGCTTTGCACCAGGGGCTGGTGCCAGACATTCATAAAGACCACGTACGTGAGCGAGGGAGTGAGTGCGTGAGTGAGTCAATGAGAGAGTGACCTTCGGACAGAGTGAGTGCGTGCGTGCGTGCGTGGGTGGGTGGCTGAGTAAGTGACTGACTGCGTGATGGAGTGACTCGTGACTGCGTGACTGCGTGACTGAGTGACTGAGTGACTGAGTGACTGAGTGACTGTCTGAGTAGCCGAGTGACTGCCTGAGTGAGTGAGTGAGTGAGTGAGTGAGGGAGTGAGTGAGCGAGCAATGGGATATATGTGGTTGCTAATTGTTCATTAGAGCGCATACCTGCATGCACCATAGATTCTGCACAGAGGACAGGGTAAGTCTTAAATATTTCGGGTCAATGCTCGCAAGTGTGGAAACTTGACAGTTGTCAGGAAGGAAGCTTCCGGTGAACAATATTCTGTCTGCCGATCACGATATGTATCCGATATGGACACCGAAATCAAATAGCCCGAAGGTGAAGCTTAGCCAACGTTGACCAGCCATGGGGTACCGGAGTTTCATTCTGTGGACGAAGCTTTTCTTTCAACTTCAGCCAGCAAAACGGCAGTGGGTTTGTCGTTTTTCAACTTCAAGACAAGATGCAGTCCAGCTAAGTCGGGGCTCTCAGTGGTTCTATCAGTATCTCTTCTCTCCTTCTGTTTGGGCCCCACTCAAAATGGGGGGGGGGGCCTTTTGAGGGCACCCCTTCTTGGTCTGCTTTGAATGGACACCAACAAAACAAAAACAAAACACGAATTTGGGGCGGGGGTCCCCCAAAGAAAGACACACCCAAATGGGCACCCAAGCAGTGCTCCAAGTGGCCTTGAGGCAGCTGCCGGAGGAAGAGGCCAAAGAGATGCGCACCGCCCTGCTCCAGGAGGCGCAACCGAAATGGACATCAACCAGTCCTTTTCGCTCCGCGGGAAACGGCTTTTTTTGGTGGGGGGACAAGCCTCACAGGAGCCAAGGGAAGCCCCAAGAGCAGGTTCTCCCGATGTGTTGTGGTCTTTGGGCCTTGGCGGTTCTTTTCCCTTTCAACCAGCAACAGCATATCTTTGTGCATAGGTCTGTTCGAGTAACTGTGCTAGTCAGTCCAAAGCGGATGGATGTTATTTGAGACCAGTGAATGGCTTGCAAGGGCAGGTCCACTCATCCCGCTTGCACCACGGATGCTCCCGGACATGTCGCGCAACTCGCTTTCAGGGCAATCCCAAGCTTGCATATGGTTTTTCCTTCTTGTTGTCCTTCTTGTTTTGTTTGATTGTTTGTTTGTTTGTTTGTTTGTTTGTTTGTTTGTTTGTTTGTTTGTTTGTTTGTTTGTTTGCTTGTTTGTGTGTTTGTTTAAAGTTTATGTTTTTTGCAAGGGTCCCCAACCGGAGATTTCTCTCAAAAGGGACATTTTAAGCATGCCTCCGAAGCTCCGGGAGGTGGCCTATCCTGTGCGCACGGTCGGCTTCGACGCGGAGCAGCTGAATTTGGAGTTCCCCAACACCGTCGGGCCCTTCGCCGGGCCCCGAGCGCCCGAGCGCCCGAGGCTTCGGGACCCGAAGGACATCGAACGGCCAACTGAATGGTCAAGTCTTCCTCACTGCCCGTTTTGCTGGGCTTTAAGTTGTTTGGGAAGACCAGCTTGGTGGTAAGTAAGAACAGGTTGAGCTGTTTTTGGCCAGTCCGCTCAGGAAGGGAGCTTCTGGGTAAGCGAGAACTACAGGGTGAAAGTAAAGTTAACGTTGATAAGCCTCTCTTTTCCCAGAAGGTCAAGCCTCGGATGAAACAGGTTCCGAGGGCGAAGGTGGTCAGCGGGAGAAGGTAGTTGTAGGTGGCCGCTCTGCAGGAGTGAGGACGCATCCGGAATTAGATGAAAATTGAATGGGCTGGAGCTCAGTTTCAATTGTTTGTTGTGCGGGAGAAGGGGTCTGCCGAACGCGGCATACTAATCAGGCGTGGTCCTGGAAGCCCGCGCCAGAGTTCAGACTTGTGTTTGGTATTGGATCATCCGAAAACGTGCCTTAGTACTCGTTGGTACTTGTTCATTCAATCATGACAAGGCACCGACTGTTTGTCCGTTTGGGTCGACCACTTGGTGAGGCGATTCCGACTCATGGAAGTGCTTGGCGGTGAGTCGCTCTGAGGTCATGGTGAAGGCTCAGCTGGTGGAGGCCTTTAACGAGTTCTTCACACTGCCGGAGGCTTCACGGCCGGACCCCACCAGCGAGACCAGCGCCTTGGACCAATGGCCCAATTCGCCGACTTAAGGCGGACTTAAACCCAACAGGTGGCGGATTTCCCCGGGGACACTCCGCCTTGGTCAAATGGATGTTTGTCCGAATTCGGCTTGGAGAAGTTTCTTTTTTGCTTGATGAGCCTCTTGTGTTGAGATCCCTTGTTACCAGATTGATCAACCTGATTCCCGCGGCAAGCAGTGCAAGGCCCCCGATCCCCCCCCCCAACCCCAAGCCTTCCTGCTGCACGGAGTTGAGAGCAGTTCCAGACAGATGCTAGCTGGATTTGATGAATTTGCCGGGGTTGTTCAGTCAACAGAATCCTTATGCCAGATCATATGGTGTTTTTCATTATGGCCTACTGTGGATTGTGGATTGGTATTTGGGATCCCCACCACTTTGAACAACGTCCACCAAGGCTTCATGATGGGCCTTCAGCCTTGCCACATCGGTTTGGAGGAGCATGACATCTTGCCTCTTGGGCCGCAGCGGGTGTTTTCTTTGCAAGCAACGCATGAAAGCAGGCGGCAACATCAGGGGTCCAGGGTTCATATTGTCTGCCCCTTGGGTGGTGTTCACATCACCTTTCGGAGCCCTCCCTTGCCTGTTACCAGCGAAGGCAAGGAATGGGCATGGTCAAGACTGTCGACAGATGGGGCATTGAAATGGTCAGTCAGTTCCTTGGCCGTTCCAACGCTTCGAATACCTCCAAAGTCTATTGGGGTTCAACATATTTGTATACCCAACTCTGACATAGGGGTTGTCTTTTTTGGGTGAACCCCCCCCCCCACCCCGTAAAACGGCAATTCTTCTGGGGGGTTCCCTTTGGGCTCCAGCTATTTTGGGGGATTGGTCAAAAGGTCCTTGACATGGGATGAACATTGGGGACACCACTAAAAACATGTGATATGTCCCCGCATGGGCAAAAGTCACCCATGGTCAAAGCTGGGGGCCTTTACGGAAATATTGACCAACCCCCAAATTTCAACCCCGCCCTACCCTCAACCCCACTGCAAGCCCTCCGGCCTGGCAGTGCATCCCCCAACTTTGATGGTACCTAGGGCAGGGAAATAGGGCCTTGAACCCGCGACTTCCATTTGGTTCAGACCCCTCCGCGCCCTCGGCGCCCTCGGCGCGGCGCGTCGGAACGGAGGTTCTGCCACTGCTCGCCGCTGCACCCCACCACCTTGTCCGCCGCCAGCCGGGCGGCCGCCGGCATCCCCAAGACCGCCAACTTCTTCGCCTGGGCCTACCCCGCACCTCGGACCCGGAAGCTCCGGTCACCCCAAGCCGCTGCAGGGAGGGCCCTTGGCTTCAAGAAGCCGAAGCCCATGTGCTTGGTCCAACTTACTGGCAAAAGTGACATATGTTGTTTTTTCAAAAAGTGATATATGTTCTTTTTCGGGGGTTAGTCTACATCAAAGTAGTTTTGGAGGAGATTCCAAAAAATAGGTAACTCCCCTGAACGGAAGGAGCCTGCTGGAACGGTGTTTGAACACAGAAGCGCAGACATATTTACACACCTCTTCGCCCCAAACCTGGCATTTAAGTACCTCTTCCTCCAAAACCGGTTGGCAAGTGTTTACATATATATATATATACATATATATATATATACATATATGTATATATATATATATATATATATATATATATTTATTTATTATATATATATTACGCGTTGCGTTTTGGGTTCTTTGAACATCTCAGGTGGAGAAGAGCAAGGTCCCGGATCTTTGGCACCTCTCCGGGCCCGAGCGCGCCTTCCTGGAGTACGGAGGAGCGATCGATCGTCCAGATCCCGGGGCGGGTGGCTTCCTGTTCCAAGTGGGGGGTTTGATCAGCCAATAACCAAGGTTTTCTCTTTTCCCATGTGGGAAATATCATCTTGTGGTTTCCCTGAGTGGCAACTTCCTTCAAGTTCCAATCTAGATATCGGCTTGGAGAGGTGCCTTTGGTGGATTTCCCCTGCTCTTTTTCGTGTTGGTCTTTTTTAGTGCACTTTTAGTACCGTTTCAATATACAGGGGTGGATCCACACAGCCACATCGAAACCGTGTTCTGGATCCAAGTGAGTTTATTCCTCTGGTGGTTTGGATTGGTGCTTCCTGGATTTGAGCCCGCGGGTTTTGTTGAGAGTAAATGGGTTTCAGCCCCCATCCTGCAAACCACCAAACCAAGCAACCAACTAGGGGAAGGGCAGGTGAAAAAGAGTCAGCAGTTATCGCCTGGGCTTCTTCGGTGGCCGCGTCAAACCTCAAGGTGATGGTGGCTTCCTTAGGAAATTCCAAGAGAATCTCTCCTGAAATGATTGGTTGTTTTGGGGGTCATGGAACCCACCCGCATATTTGGCTGCGTCATCCCTAGTCTGTCTGAAATAGTTGTTTGCTTCACGCTTCACCAAATCTGGAGCAGAGAGGCCAAAGCTGGATTAGCAAATAGGCAAGCAGGCTGGAGGAACTCCCATTTGCAGGGCGGCATGGGTGTAGGTCCCTTTATTGGCACAACTGGGAAGATAGTCATGGGACCTCTTCTTTTTTTGACAGAATCATTTTCAAGTGAGTTGAGCTGAAAATCCGCTGATCATTCTAGGATATTATCGGCATGATTCGCCTGGTAACCTCAGGGTTTTTTGTTCACGGCATCGATAACCATGGTCCATGGTTGACAAATTTGTATCCCAGCAGCAGCGTAGCTTTCTCAAACTCTGGGTTAGCAAATTTAAGACACACTGATTAGAGGCTTAGAAGGGCTTCTGCATGCGGCTCAGATAACTCAGGCGCAGTAGCAGAAAACATCTAAACGGGTTTTGCGGATCCCTTACCTGTTCAGTCGGCACACGTTCTACATTTTTCCTTTTTGTGCTGACGGGTGTCTTTCGTCATGCTGGAGGTCAATTACCCTGGCAGCCAGTCCGACAGCCAGAAGACTTTGAGTCCGCACTCCTGGTAGACTCTCCCCACTGCAATTACCCTGAGCTTTGGGGTGGTCTTTGGCAGTGCGACGCCTCCAGGGCTTTGGCTTCCAGGGATGCACTTCGGCTGTGCAGCGGGCGGTTCAACAGCTCAGTCGTTTAATACCAGTCTTCAAGGCTGAGCTGTTGGAGCAAGCGGCGACCACAGATATCCACCCGCCGAGCGGCAGCAGTTCTTCCATCTGACTCAGCGCCAGACAGCAGACAGCAGGGGGTACCATGGCAACCTGATAGTGACCAGTGGTGACAATCAGGAGCAATGAAGCACCTCCCTCTAGTTGTGGCCCATGACCTTCCCTGGGCTCCCTTTCGAGTTGGCTTTAAATCCCTAAGGGGAAGCCCGAAAAGCAAAAGTTGTTCAAACGCACAATGAGCTTTGCTACTGTGCATGGACATGATCCTGCGCCAATTGGTAGGGATCTCTTCATGGGGTTTCATCTATCCCGATGGGTGCAGGGTTTTGTCCATCCACAGTATGTATGGTGGGCATATACCCTTTAGACAGTGGATACATGATGGCTATATACCTCAACTTCCTCAGGTAGTGATTTCGGGGGATGAAAGCCTAGAAGTCGGCCTCGGATTCCAGTTGCGTATGACAGGGTTCGATCCATTTTTTGGAGCCTCCAAAAGCGGATTTCTACTTTCAATGAGCACCACCCGTAAATTGGTCAGCTTTTGAAGGGCGGAGAAGTCCCAGTGACCCCTGCAGGATATGTCTACTACGACAAGGACTGCAACGTGGTGGGCACGACATCCATCAGAGCCATGGCAGGTGTCCTTCGAACAGACCCAAGAAAAGTGTACGGAAAAACTATCAAAAAAAGCACGTGCTTGCGTGTTTGCGAATTGCTCCGGAATAGGGCGCGTGGGAGACGTAGTTATCACGGGCAGCCGCTGTTGACCGCCTTTATGGTGAAACATTTCTTTTCTGTGGAAGAGCAAGTCGCAGCAGAGTGCTGCGCCGAGTCTGCCATGAGCGAGCCGCCAAACCTGGGTGCTTCAGACTCAGTTTCTTTCAGCACGATCGGCCCTTGGCAAGTGGGCCACTCCCGGGTCCGATCTTCGACCCCCGGTTCACTTGTCGGTTGAATGCAACAGAAGGCACTGAGTCAACCTTTGGAACAAAAAGGTAAGACGGTAAGAGGTTCGCAAAAGTGGCCTAGCAAACGCTCGGGTGACAGGAAGTAGCTTCTGTACAAGTTGCGGAGCACAAAAGCCATGTGACTAAGGGTCGATGAGCTCACTTCCCGAGTCTTTGGACTCTGAACTCTTTGGGAGGATGAGTTGAATACTTGAATGATCAACAAAAAGTGCGGGCGTTGGATGATTCGAATACTTGAATGGTCAACAATCCGCTTTTTTCAGGCCGGGGAAGTGATGTCAAGTGAATCTCAGGCCCGACCTCCGTGGGGACCGGCCTCATCTTCGGGGGGTCTTTGCCCCTGGCGGAGGAGGTGGCAGATGCCCTGGCGAAGCAAGGCGGGCCGGGAGGGACCCTCGGAAGAGCACGGCGTTTGGAACGAGGTCCACTGGGAGCAGAAGTTGTCCAAGGCCGACCTTCTGACCTTTGCTTAGTTGGTCCATTTTTAGCCATGGCCCCAAAAGGTAAACCTTCCATTTCTTGGGGCAACTGAGAACGAGGTCCACCGGGAAACCCCCCTTCTGGGCCGGATGGGAGCAATTGGAACATAGGAATAGATGGGAATAGTACAACATGGACACTGAGGCAGACATGGGTTGCAACCAGCTCGGCGAAACGGGTTGTTGTTGTCCTGCTCTTTCCGAGTTCCTGATTCTCCCCCTGCAAATGGGACAGAATAAATGAGAAGCAAGCATGTGCAAAGGATTTGTTGGAAGTGCAATTCTGAAATGGACGTTGACAAAGACATCTCTTGATTTGACATTTGTGTGGCTGCATAGGTGACCCCAATCCTTGTTGCAAGCTGGGCTTGACGCAATTCCCCGCAATTGCCGCGAGGCCTTTCTAAGGCCCCATGTTGAAACAGCCAAATGTGGAGTTCTCACGGTTTCCAGGCGTTGCTTTGGTGACTCACCCCGCCCCACACCACAAAAAAAAAACGCACCCCACCCCAAGATTTTGGTTGGCGCCTCCTTTGTTGCTCCTCCCTTTCAATGCAAGCCCATTCCAATCCGTCCAATTACCCACCCACCCCAGCCACCCAGCCACGGCCACCCCTGCCGCGCGGGTGAGCGACAAAGGCCGGTTCCAGGAGGTGACCTTGGAGCCGCTGCTCCGCAAGGGCGCCACCCACTTCGCCTGGGTCCGTCCCAGGGAGTTCGCCTCCACCCAGTGCCCCAGCCCCTCGGAAGCGGTCGAAAGGCACCGGGGAGGATCGGTGGCCGCCTGACCTGGAATACGGGGAACCACAAAGAAAGGCGTCTGAAATGGGGCGTGGTGTTTTTTGCTTCTGAAAAACAAAGGGAACCACCTTTATTGTCTATTCTTTTTGGAGGAGGGTTCGTTTTGTGTGCTCTTGTTTGATGTGTTGGGTTGCACCCTCGGAGCCCTTTTTTGGGAGGTCATGTTGGTGGTGGTTGGTCGTAAGGCACGTTTTTTTGCAAAACCCACTTGTTTGCCGGCGTTGATAGGGAAAGCCACAGGAAATGTGGATCCTAATTTGAGACACCGAGAGACCAATCTCTTGCAGGTTTGCCTTGAAGGATCCCCTGCTTGCGTGGTTTGATTTTGTGTGCGACCAACTTAACTCGCATTTTTCACTTGTTTTAGATTATGACGCAAGTGGAATGAGGTTTGCCATGTCATGCCTTGCTTGGGACCTAAGAGGCAGCGTTTGCTTCTGGGAAGAGTCTTCGGCTCAACCAAAAGAACCTGTTTTTGGCTTCAAGGAAATGAGGAACTTGCCCAGCATTGCCCGCCACTCACCAGAGCATGTTATTTTGTTGCAGAGGGGCAAAGATCAAACCACACGAAGGGACCGCATGTATGACTTGAGAAACCCGCCATCTTTGAGGCAGTCCCTGTATGTTCTTTGAAAGGCTTCAAGTTCAGCCCGTTTACCGCACATGCCGCCGGGCAAAAGCTATGGGATCATGGGCTCCACTTTGCGTGTCGAATGAAAGGCCAAGACTGATTGCAGACCGCTTGCATGAAGAAATAGAGGTCGAGCAAGGGGACACTGGGTCCACCTTGTGCCCTCTTTGCCATACTTCTTACGCATGGGATATTTGCTCAAAGCACTGGGTGAGTACTCTTTTTTGGGGGTAATTAGTTGGGCCCAGGTACTTCGCTGAGTTTCTGCCATTGTGAACGTGAGTTGCATGTACACCTCTGACCTTCCGATGCTCAGGTGGTGCCTTCGCTTACAAGTTTGATGGTGGAGGGGAAGCGAGGCCGGCGGAGCTCGAGTTGGTCCTGCAGGAGTCACAGGGGCGATGGGAAGGGCGGAGATTCAAACCAGGGGGTTGATCAAAAAGGTCCTTTACATGGGATGACCATTGGTTGGAAACCCACTAAAACAAATATTTGATATGACATGGGAAAAGTTACCCATGATCAAATCTGGGGGGGCCAGGCCGAACGGGAGTCCAGGAATATCGATCCCCAGATCCTTCCTCAGGATGTTTTGGGCTAGAAGTCTTTGCCGTGAGAAGAGAGCTGATTGACAGCTGTCGTCAAACTCTTCATAGCGGTCCAAAACGGGTTGCATCATGTTGACCTGTTTCTCAACATCACGGTCCCCGAAACTGGGCGTCCAAAAGGGGGCGGACCCGCCATTTGGAGAAACCCCCTGCCATGTTCGCGCTCGACTCCGATCAGGTACTTCCCCGTTGCCGGCAAACCTGTGTTGTCCGAGCCCGCGCTGCAGCTATGAGTTGACCTGGCCGGCCGTTTCCCTGCCTCCAGCGGTCTGGCGTGAGATTGTTCAGCCACGGGGGCCATGTGTCAACTTTGACTTAGCTTCCAGCGAGATCATTCCCTATTCACTGGGTAGCTTAGGACAAAAGGAAACGCATCCCCATAGAAAGGATTGCAAATCTTCACTGTTCTTGGCAAGCGTTTTGTTCTTTTGGTTTGGGAAGTTTTTTGCTACCAGACGTGTTGTGAAGAAATGCGTATCGCAGGAGGTTTCCAGGCTGAGACTGTGGAGAGTCGCCCAAGGACAGGTCCTGTCAAGAGTTGCAAGCTCTGGGCTTCCGGCTGAGCTGAGTTGGCCATGGGTCAAAAATAGGTACCCACAATGGAACCCTGGTAAATGGAATCACGGACTGAAAGCTGCGGTCCAATTCCTGGTGGTTTAATTTTGACCCATACCCAGCTCGTTTCTTTCCCAAGTGCCGAACGGCAGCAGCCAGAAAAGCAGTCGGAGCGTGCGCCTTGCGACATGTTTTTTTTCTTTGCTGGAAATTACTATGAACTGTTTTTTTTGTCCCTGATATTTACCAGGTGATTTGTCATCCAGCATGTGGTCTTGGCAGATTGCTTCTAGCAAAACACAGGCGACGTGAGCAAATGCACCAGAAGAGGACGCTCGAGCGAAAGACGTGTCGAGGTGTGGCGGGAGGAAGTGAGAGGGGCCGACTGAGACAGCTGCCGAAATGCCGGGAGCACGTGCTTGGCTCGGCGATGCCGTGGTTGTCCACACCAATGGGATCCCATTTTGGTAGGTGAATTCACCACCCATTTTAGGATCTATTTTAAATGGGGATTGAATCGGATGTTCACTGGGGGTACGATTTTGATTTTGACCCACTGCCATATGCCACCAGCTCGGCGTCCGAAAGCGCCGTTTCCCAGGCTGGCCATGAGCGCTTGCCAGTGAACTCCCGTCCATGAGATGGCTCAGCGCAGTCCCCGACCGGGCAAGAAGCAAAGAGCGTGCAAGTTGAGTCCGTGTCGTTGGCGCGGGAGAGTTCCCACGGCAGTTCAGAGGTCGGATTGTGACAACCTGGCCTTTGAGGGCAAAGAAGAATCAGGCTTGCTCTTGCCAACTGCCAAGTAGCCGCCGGTCTGCACCTCTAAATTTGAGAGAGCACTCAAAATGAGAGGTTTGCCTTTTGTTTCCCGTTTCAAGCACCCCACGGGTACTCAAAAAGGATGCACCCAAATCGGGACCCGGGGGCACCCTCAAAAACCCTCAAAAACCCGCGTGGGCACATGTTTTTTTTTGTTTATGTTGCCCTTTTTGAGATTGACGAAAACGGATACCGAAGAGGAGAAGCACCAAATCATTTGGCCTGTTTTTCCAACAATCGGGGTCCAATTTCCTGAAATGAGTGGTTTCATGCCGGTTTCTCGTCAAGCACCACCCAAAAAGCGGGTCATTTTGAGACTCAAGGTGCAGCGCCCCGGGCGCCCCCGGCGCCCCCAGCGCCCCCAGCGCCGCCAGCGCCGCCAAAGAGCGCGGAGCCCACCGAGGCGGGGGTCCCCCCCCGACTGCCTGGGGGTTGGTTCGGGTTGTTTCTGGGTAAACTTCAGCTAGGTCCCCCAGCTAGGTGCCCTTTCTCACCCCCTTTTTTGGGGAGATTCGGTTCCCCTACTAAAATTAGACTACAGAAAAAAGGGTAGCCTTATTCTAACCTCTCTAATTACTCGAGGACCTAGTCAGGGAACTTCCGAGACATCGCCCGTAGCATGATTCTAGGGTTACCTTCCATTTCCATTCTCTCCAGCGATCTGAGTCTTGCTTGAAAACCTCCGGAAACCCAGGGAAAACGGCTGGTTTTTGAATAGAGCGATGGTGGAAAAGAATGGGGAATCAACCCCTAGAATGATAAGAAGGATTCAACCCCTGCATTTGAACTTTGACCAAGTTGCGGCAATTGGCGACGTCCTCCGCAAGTGGTTCAGAGCCAACTCGCAAGGGGAACCATTGAAGTTATTTTTGGCGGCTGGTGACGATTTGACAATTTGCTTGGACCATGTCGCGTCATGACGTTTCCATGGCCCCCCTTGCCCCATTGGCCCGATCCAACCTGGCTTCACACGGATTGACCAGCCTTTGCCATCCCTTGCGGTTTGAGTGTATGTGGAGGTGAGTAGTTGCTCCCATGCCAGGGGAATCTGGGCAAGTTGCAGCGGCCTCACAAGGGAGGGGTTGCCACCTTACCTTCCATTTGGTTGAGAATATGGTTTATTTTCCCCTGTTTGTTTTAACGGGAATTTATCACTACTGGAATTATTTATATTTTTCCCAGGGGACTTAAGCAAATGGATGTTTCCGATGAAGGTCCGAGTTGGTTTTTCAGGTGCGTGATTGCTAATGAGGAAGGTTCTGACAATTTGGTGTGCCTGTGGTCTCTTTTTAAGCAACCTGCAAAAGGTTTCCCGCGGCAAAAGACATGCCCAAGAATGCTCCCGATAGGAGACCCAGATGCAGATCCATCCGTCGAAAGAAAAAGCGGTCACATGTCATGCAGGGGCCCTCTTTGTCCGATGGAAATCCACCAGACTTCTGGGATGGCCAAAGGCAAAAGCTGGCACAGGCTGACCTGTTGTGCGCCGAGTTCCTGGTGCAGGCAGCATGGCAGACATGCTATGAAAGGGCTGGTTTGTATTCCGGTTGTTTTCTAGCTAGAAAGGGCAGGGCTACCTGAGGACCGGACCAGTTTGTAAGATCATTTTTGCCGGCGCATGAAACTAATTTGCTGTGCATGCAACAGGGAAAGCAACAATGAGGTCAGCATCAACAAGGCAAGAAGTAGCTGAACCCGAAATGCGATGGGAGGAATAGCTTGCACTGAGAGTAAGAAAGTTGGGTGGAACATCTGCCAATGTTTGTCGAGCTGTTGTGCGCACGTCGTCAGTCTCTCGGCAACTTGGTTTGCCAAAGAGGCTCCGGATGAATCTGCGTGCGAGCTCTGAGAGCAAAACGAGGTATGATACAGGTGCCTTGGTTGGGGTTGTCTTATTTGTAAGTTTGGAATTCTGTTAACATTTTGCTGATGAATCAACTCTTGCCGTGCTTCAATGTTTGCTTGTGATGTTAGATGCCCAATCAGGGTAGGAGTTGTTTGCAAGAAGCTGTGCTGCAGCGAGGTGCGATTGCGCACCAGAGAGGGCCGGCCCCTCAGCGCTCTGGTGATTGCCTTTCAAAAGTCATGGAAAAACTTTGCAATTCGAAAAAAATGGTCCAGACCTTTGCGTGACCTCTCAATGTGCGGGACTGGGCAACGTTCCAAGAGACCCAACCCGCAAGCCCAGAGGGTGGACCCCTGGCCTTTTGCCTCGAGCCTTGAAGCATGTGCGGAACTCGGCCCAGAGTCCAAGGCGGGCCTAGAAGTGGTGACGAACCTCCTGAAGCACTCAAAGTCAGCTTTTCTCACTAAACCACCAAGTACTAGTACGTAGTTTGAGTTTGCTGGTGACTAGCACATCCTTTCCATGAAGGGTTTCTTTTGCATGGCCCGAGTGTTTTCTGACTTCCCCAGTTGGACTGCGGGCCAATGGTTTTCCCTTCCGTTTCGATCTCGCGATCGAAGGGGTTTCATGCGGCGTGAGACCTGAGGCTACGAAGAGGCCCTGAGGCGGGGCACAAGCGGATGGCGAGGGGAGATGCGCAGAAGGAGTCCATGGGGAGCCAGAAATGGCTGCGGTGTTTCAATCGGGGGTGTGCCCGATTTAAGAAGGGTGCCGGGCCGGTCACGTTTTGGGGTTGCTTGGGTCAGTGCTGTCAAACAGGTTCATAGGGGCGCAAGACAGCATGAAGATCACAAGCGCCTTTCTGAATGAGGCGAACTCCACCTTTACAATTGAACAACACAAAACGACCGACTGGTGTTTTGCTTGGTGGTTCCCAGCATTTCCCAGCCATCCCCTTGGGTTTTTAGCTTTTAGTTGGTTTAGTGGATGGAGATGTCCATTTAAATCTGAGGACAGCCCAGTCTTCCGTTTGGTTAAGAATATGATTTTATTTTCCCCTGTTGGTTTTTGAAGGCAATCTATCACTACTGGAATTATTTTTTTTTTTTTCCATCGGACTTAAGCAAATGGAGGCAGGTGAGGCCATCAACTCGCGAGGCTGGCAGAGAAGATTCTGAGACTGGAGCCCGGCAATCGCCTGGTTCTGGAGTACAAGGAGTCCGGAAGGCAAGCGAACAGACCAAAGGCTTCCCTTTTGAACCCTTTGCTCATGGTTGTTGGGAAACATGTTACATTTTTGCTTCTTGTGGTTTAGTGGTTGTAATCCCCACTGAACTGCTAAAAAAAGATTTGCGTTCTTCCCTTTCAACGTCAACCAAGCCTTTGCCTTGTTGATTCCATGGTTTTCCCTTAAAACGGGTGTTTCATCATATGAAAACCGGAAATTTGTTTTTGGGGGTTGTTCCTATCGTCCCATTCCGGGGAGGAGAACATCAGGTGTGTTTTTTTGGCAGTCTATGGCCTAGCAAAATTGTTACCATTACCAACGGATCCCACGTGTTTTTGGGGCCTGATCATTTAGGGTCTTTCTTTGGTCCATTTGCATCCTGGCAGACATGGCGGATCCTTTTTGCCTGGTTCCGTTGTTGTGTTTGTTTGGTGCGCGGGCAAGCTACGCTACCTCATGGTAAAACATAGTTGTCTTTTTTTAGGCAAAAAGAAAAACAACAGAAACACATCACGAACAAGATGTCCCTTTCGGTTTCCTTTAACACCAACCCGAAAAAGGACCATTAAAAAAGCAACATACCCATGTGTAGTTGGACTCAGCCTCATGTCTACTCCAAGGCTATGATCATCACGCTTTGGAGACTTTTAGGAAACATGTTACATGTTTGCTTCTTGTGGTTTAGCAATTGTTAAAATTTATGTTTTTGCTCCCCTTCCAACGTCAACCAAGCCTGTGCCCTGTTGATTCCATTGGTTTCCCTTAAAACTGGTGTTTCATCAATTAAACCGGAAAATTGTCTTTGGGGCAGGAGAAAATCAGGTGTGTTGTTTTGGCGGTTGTTTGTTTGATAGCTGTTC